CCACCATGCCCGGCTAATTTTTTTTCTATATATTTTTAGCTGTCCAATTAATTTCTTTCTATTTTTGGTAGAGACGGGGTCTCGCTCTTGCTGAGGCTGGTCTCGAACCCCTGAGCTCAAACAATCCGCCCGCCTCGGCCTCCCAGAGTGCTAGGATTACAAAGAAATTATTTTTAAACTCCTATTTAATTGTGCACTCTTCATGCTCTAAGCATTTCACAGACATCTTTTAGTCTTCACCAAGTCCTGGGCGTTATCACCGTTTTACAAATTAAAAAACCTAGGCCTAGCGAAGTTAAGAACTTGCCCAAACAATGCTGTGGTAGGTGGAGCTGGGATCAAAACCCAGATCTCTTAATCATAACCCTTTAACCATGCCCATCTTTTTAATTACAAAAAAAAAAAAAAGATATGAGCAGGGCCCTGCAAGAGAACTTGAATTTAGAAAGGGGGAAAGAAGACTGGAGGTCAGGGCTTTTTAGGCAAAAGAATGGTCTGGGCCGTGGAATACATAATGAAATGGCCAGATGTGTTGGGGTCGCTCAGTTTTCCTGCTTGTGTCATGGAATTAATAGGGTCGTGGAGAGAGACTTAAGAGACTAAGTTTTATTCCGTCTTTGTGACTTTTGATATGAGTCAGTGAACACCTTTTACGGTCTCTATGCCTTAGTTACCTTCCTTAAAAATTGTTTCTCATAGCTGGAATTGGGATATGTCTTTGATTACCGTGATCTTCGAGGTTTTCGAGCCCAGTGGAAGCCAGGTGCAGTAGTTTGGGTGCTTGTTCATCAGTTCACTCTCCTGCGGGCAGAAGACACTTCCCCACCCCACTGAGTTGAGTCTGGCCATGTGACTTGCTCTGGCCAATGGAAAATTAGCAGAGGTGGTGCGAGCAAAGGTTAGAAACATGCCTGTGTGCCGGGACTTGCTCTCTTGGCTCCTGCCGCTGTCAGAGAAGAACACAGCCTGCTGGCCTGCTGGTCCAAATAAGGGACATGTGAAATGGATTTGGACCCAGCGTGTAACTTTCGAGACAATAGGTACAATCCTTTGAGGAATAACAGTCAACTGCATAGGAGACGGTGAGACCTGCTATTGGCTGTCAAGATATTTTTCTTATTTATAGAATGAGAGTCGTTTAGTGAGAGCTGGCACACGAGCTCCACCAGCCTCAGGTGACTCGTGTGAATTATGCTGGACTGTTCTGTAAGTGCTGCCACACTATCTGATGAATGGGCTGGTGCTGGGATGAAGATGAAGGCAGAAGCTGTTAGTAAGCTAGCATCAAACATGACTTCCCAGTTCCGGTCTGCAGAAAACCCAGGGCACGGTATCTAGCTGGCCCTGACGGTGGGAGATACTCTGAGATCCAGGTTTCAGGAAAAGAGCTCCCAATAAAGTAATCTGACCTGGGTGAATTCCGGAGATCACCTGCAGACAATATTCTGATCCCTACACAACAAAGTAAATTCCAGTTGGCTTAAAAGTATAATCTGCTTGAAAAATCTCTGACAATTTTGCCATCCATGGGGTGTGAGGCACATAAATATAAGAGCTTGGTGGAGCTGAAATTGGACGAAGCTGTTTTTCAGAATAAAAACAAAAGAAGAAATTATAAAGGAAAATGTCAATACATTTGACCACAAAAAATTTAAACTGAGTGTATGGCATTATTTGTAATGGCCCCAAACTGGAAACAACCAAAGGATCTATTAATGGATGAATGGATAAAACAAAGTATAATGTAGCCATACAATGGAATACTACCCAGGAGCAAAAAGGAACAGACTATTGATACATGCACCAAAATGGATGAATCTCAAAAGAACTATACTGAATGAAAGAAGCCAGACAAAACAGTATGCACATTGTATGATTCCACT